CGTACTCTTGGATCAGCGCATGACCCTCGTCTAGCCAAGGGAAGACGGTTTGCTCTAAATCTTGGCCGAAAGTACGGAAACTAGTAGTCATGGACTCCAGCTCAGCTCTGAGGGCAAAGGCAGCTTCTTTGGCATCTTGCCTCCTCAACTCGAAAATCTTGGCCTGACACTCAGCTTCCTCGGCCTTCTCTGCCTTGGCTTTCAGCTCGTCATTCATCTCCACAGCCAAGAAGCGGTTATGAACGACCTGCAGAGATGAGGAACAATGATCAGCCGAAGTAAAAAAAAAAAAAAAAAAAAAGAAGAAGAATTGCGAGAATATTGCTCTCGGAGTCTGAGACTTCTGAGCAATGAACTCATAGATTCTTCAAAAAAAAAAGAAGGGAAGAAGAAAGAAAAAACTTAAGTAAAAAAGTTTAAGTATAAACAAGTTTACCTGCATCAGCAGCCTTTGATTCTCAGTAAAGGGGTCCGGCACCCTAGCAAGTGCCTCGGATGCCCCAACAGCAGACCCAACAGTCCAGGCCCTGGCCCTCTCCAGCTCAGACATGCTGGAGAGGTTACCAAAGTATTCCGCGGCTGATTTATGCCGGGATTCGAATATGTTCCGAACATGATTAAGGACAGGAACCACGGGGGCAGAATTGAACCCCATTTTTGCAGACTGAAAAGTCTTGAAGGATTCAGCAGCCGAAGTAGAAGGCAGATCAATGTTCTTGGCCTCCTCAGCTTTTTCTTCTACTTCGGTCTCCTTCAGACCATCAGCACCAAGACCCTTAGGGTCTTCTCTCAAAATTGGCACTTCGTCCTTAGGGTGGACGAGTAGTGTATCAGCTTCCCTCCGAACCTCATTAGTAAAAGGTTTGGCCACGTGCCGAGGGGCGGAGGGAGGAGTCTTCGTCAGGATGTCTCCCTCTGCACAAACCTCGGGAGGAGGTGGAGTCTTCTCTTTGCTCGGCTCCTCTGTCCGAGGCTTCTTTGCAGGAATTGGGGCAGCTTGAAACTGTCCGGGAAGAATGACAACCCTTTTCTTCCTCGAACCAAGCATGTCTTCGTCTGAAGATGATTTGTTCGATGTTGACTCTACTTGAGCAGCCTCGGCTAGCTCTCCTTTGTTCTCTTCTTCTTCGTCGGACTACAAAAGAAAGAACAAGGAGGCAAAGAGTCACGAAAGTTAAAAAAAAAAAAGACAAAACAAACAAAGAAAGAAGAAAGAAGCAAATTTAGACAAGTCGAAAGGCTCACAGAAGTCTTTAGCAGACGAGCGTCTTCATAAACTTCTTCTTCCTCGGCTTCTTCTACTCTTGGCTCGGCAGCTGAAGTAGAAGGCCCGGCTCCGCTTCTAAAGACCTCAGCGGCGATAGTTGCAATTGTTTGCTCTTTAGTGGAAGGAAGAAAGAAAGGGTCGACCTTCTCAAACCAAGGCCTCTGCGCTTGATACTCAACAACGCTGACCACCTGAAGCCTCTTTCGGTGCAGGGAAAGGGCCTGATCCTTGGAATCAGTGATTTTGGGGGTGTTAGTGATCGGGTTCCTCTCCTGACTGATCCCGAGCACTTCGTAATCAACGCCCGAGTTCTCTTTGTACAGCTCTGGAAAAACAAAGAACAACAGTTAGCTTGGCTGAGAGAAATAAGCATCAGAAAGCAGAAAATAACAAAAAATAATAAAGTTTTTGGTGCTAGCCAAGTCCCTTACCGCCTTGGTATTTTCGGCTGAGGCCGACAACAACAAGTATCTTCTCCTGGAAGATATAATGGCAGCAAGGCAACCAGATGGTAGGCACATTTGCCATTCGGCCTGTGGCCCTAGGCATGTGGCTCTTGCCAAAGAGCTCCATCTGTTTCAGACCGGCATCAGAGAACTCATCAGGCCCGATGCTGAACATCTTAGGATCGGGCTTCCTCAAGTATCGGGGGCCGCCGAAGAAATTTGGATGATCCTTGTCTGACGGCCTTTCTAGTCCTTATCCGAAGTATCATTCAGATAAGTAGAAAGGAATCCCCTTTCATCTTTAATTTGCCACCAGCCAGGGCCATGCCATTTATTGGACTGCGTATTCGACATCAGCTTGTGCATGCAACAGAAGCAGTGCACACTCGGCTCAAGCCGTAAAACAGGCAGACCCAAAGATAGGTCGTTATTCTTCGGATACTGACGGGGGTCAGCTGAGGCAGTGAGATGTTGTACCCATTCAACACCTAAATTATAAAGGAATGGGCGGGAAATCGAAGCCCGTACTGCATGCAGTTGCCGAGTGTAAACCCGAATATATCCAGGTAGGGGGCGATGAATTCTGTCCTTGGCAGTAGGCATTCGGCACTAGTACCCATCCTCCTCCATTATGCCGTAGAATACTTCAAGTTGCTCGGCGAAGCGATAGGTGGCGTTATTTTCGACCCACCATGAATAAGGTGCAGTCGCCATGATGCCCTCATTCTCGTTCACATCAGTCCACTCCCTTTCCTCGGGAATCAACGGCCTAGATGCCGAGGTCGTTCCTCGGCCGGAAGTGCTAGCTCCCTCCGAGACCCTGGGGGGCATATTGGAGATCGGCACCACCCTGATTGCGACCCCACTCTGTGTAGCAGCAGCTCCAGCCCTGGCATTAGGGTTCTAGCCGCTGAAAAGTGGCATCATTGCCAAAGGACGATTTTGCCGAGGAATCAATAGCGGCGTCTCCTCCTCCTCTTCCTTAATAATTCGTTCAACCTCCATATTCCTTTTTCCTCGGTCACCGGCCATTTTTGAACAATGGAAGTGCGAGAAAACAGAAAAAAAGAGGGTACTTGAAAAAGCAAAGAAAACCGAAGAAATTTCAAAGAAAATTACCTTTGTCGAATGCGGAATTTGCCGAGCTTTGAGTTCGGGGAAACAAATTCTATCTTAAAGTTTCGGATTGCTGGTTATAAGCGGGGAAAAGGAAATCGGGTTAATAACAAAGATTAGCGAGAAGCAAGTGTGAATGCGCGAAAGGAAATGAAGAGAAATGTGGGACGAGTGGCTTAAATACCTTCCAGAATCGGGAATTTCGAGAGTCCGTGCCACTAAAATCCCCAATAATTCCACTTCAATGTTCAGCTGGTCACGTTCTCCTATCGTTAACTGTCCACGACTAATCCATCCAACTTCTTCATTACTTTAAAAAATAACCGTTATACCTCAACAACTTCCAAATTTAAATGCTAAATTAAACCATTTACTTCCCTCCCTTTAGCAAGTCAAAGGCCGACTCGTCATGCTTTCAAATCGGGTCTGGGGGGCAAGTTGTTTGGGTCTAAATAACTTCAATTGGGCCGGTCCAAATGTTTTAATTACAAAGCCCAAAGAAGGTTCAATCCTCTCAAAGCATGCCAAGTCAGTCAATGTGGCAAGCCCATTTAACCCTCGACTCAGACATAACTTGGACCGAGATCAGTCTTCAACCCCATAAAAGGGCCTAGCCGAAGGTCCTATTATTTTCATCCGAAACACTTGGAAATTTTTTTGGTACAAAATTGTTGTTGCCTTGCTAAGGGCCTAAGGCTAAGGGTTTATGAAGATGGCTTCAGTTGAGCATTTTTTGTCACTATGAGTCTATGAGACTAAGCTAGGCTAGGATTGAGGGTGCTGCCATGCCTTTTTCTTTCAATGCATCTTCCAAAAGCTACTGCATCATTCTCCAAATATTTTACTTTGTACTTCGTTCAAATGTTCAATGTTACACACTATTTACATTTACTCACTTCCAATTTACACAATCTCTAATTTATAACCAATTAATATTATTAATTTTACATTACAACTATTATGAAAGATTGCAACATTGAAAATTCATTTCAAAACAAACTTAAAAATGATATTCTTATATACTACTTTTGACTATTATGAAAAAGTACTACATACAAATTACTTTTACCATTTGTTTAATCGTTCTACTTTCCGTTTAAACATGTTCATATTTTTTATTTAAATTTCATTTAATTTTTTTTTTATTTTTTTTTTTGACAATAGCATAATAATTACTTTTTACGATATATAATTGTCCCTCACTAAATATCTTTGTTTCAAGTTTCATTAAAATGCATTGAGTTAACGGTTCCTAACTCTTTCACAAAAGTTACAACTATATTAAACACTATTCTAAACTACTAATGATATTATAAATTGCACAATTAACCGTACAAACATGAATAATCGATCAGGTCACAGGTACAACAAAATACATATTAATGAATATATAGTCAATTTTGAGCGTTGGGTTATCAATGCAAGGAGACTGTGCTTTTGCGCTCTTTCTACACGGCTCGTTATGCTTTTTTTTTGGTCGTTGTACAGTAGCTTGCTAGCTCGATTTCTTGATGTATTGTTATCTTACAGACTTAGAACACCTATATGTTATCTTACAAATATATTGTACCTCATATCCATATTGTATTCTACTAGCTTCTCAATCATATCTTTTAGGCTTCCATAAATATAAAATAAAAGGACATTCTATATATCAAGTATCTAAGACACATAACCCATATATATCCATGTCTTATGTGTAAATATAAGGTACAACGGTACACACCATCTATTTAAAGTAGCATACAAGCTAGCTAATTGACATCTTTTTTCACAAAACAAAACCCTATTACAAAACCATCTCACATTTCCACATACATCCCCAACAACAAATGTCAAATACTAATTATTGGATGCTTAAACAAACTCATTCCCCCACCACTATCTTAGAAAGCCATAGTACACTACTACTTGACAAGTTGACAACTCACTCAGAAAAAAACTAACATATACAAAAACAAAGGTTGTACCTTCATATTAACAACCATAAAATCACCCCTCATTTATTTCCATTTTTTTTTTATACAAAAAAGTTGTACCTTATTACTCCGTAGTGTTAATTCCCACTAAATAAAATCAACCCACATTGGATCGTGCATTACATTGTACCACCTTTATAATACATTTGTCTTAATCACATTATTTAAAATAATTTATTAATTACTGGAGTATAAAATAAAAATTAAATTTTTAGTGGAACTAATAATTCGGTCGTTGTACTACGAGTACTAATTAAGTCCAAATCTTAAGAGTTAAGACCTTATCATCTTTCCTTTTTACAGTCCTTTCGTCAAATCTTGTCATTTCTTTTTCTACCAAAAATTTAAACATAAATAAAAAAAATAAATACATAGTCATATCTTTGATATGCTTATCCAATTCTGTGTATCAGAGTGTACCTTTGTTCCCGTACACCCTCTTACGTGGCACCACCTGATAAGGTGTCCCTACACGTGAACCGCTTCTATTTCAACATGTTTCCCTTCTTTATGGGTCCCATCTTAGCTGTTCCTCAATTTTGTACCACACTCTAGAATTTTCTTTTATTTTTTCTTTTTTCTTTTTTTTTTTTTTTGACTTTTGTCCTTTGGTTTTCTAAACCCTACAAAATTCCGAAAAAATATCAGCCAAAATATTGTACTCTTATTTTCTCTCTCTTCTTCCTCTCTACTCTACCATTTTCATGAGCAGCAAAAACAAGAAGGTTCATTTTACTCTTTTATTTTTCTTTATAATTATAATTTTCTTTCATTTTTTTTTTGTTAATAAATAATTTTTGATTTATATTTTACAAGAATTGTAGGATTTTCTATTTGCATTTGTTATTTTTTTAAATATAATGTCAGTAAATATGTTTTTGTGTTGTGAATTTTTGTGGGTGTTTTTTTTGTTAATTGTTAGTTTGGTGAGTGATTGTTTATAATTATGCATGCATTAGATTTGAATTTTTTGTATTAATTTATGTTTTTTTTTTTATATGGGGTTGAGGGTGTTTTTTTTATTAGGGTTGTTTTCATATTTATTTCCTTTTATAGATATATAATTTGATATGGTGTGTTTTCTATTATTGGATAGTCGCTGTATTTCATGAAGAAATAGTTGATTTCAAATGTTCAATCGTGAATTCAGGGTTTTTGGTATGTTTTTATTAGTTTATGTTATTTTATACTAGCTTGTTTTAGATGTTGACTTTTCAATATGTTGGATTTTATTTTTATATTTTTTTTACTGCTGTATTAAGTTTCATGCTGTTCTTATATATTTTGATTAGTTGGTGTTCGAATTTTGATTTAAAACTCATAAGTTATTGTTTGTGTAATTGACCGAGGCGGCGTTATTGATTAATTACTTGTCTTGTGATTATAAACAGATGGTTAATTACTTGTATCTTGTTAATACATGCTGGGCATTTGGGTGTGGCTAGTTTAATTTGTGGGATTTTAAAGTTTTGGTATTAATCAATCATGCATGTGATATTGATGTTTTTGATGATCTTTTTCTATGTGCTGCTTCCTACTTGATTAGTTGAAAAAAAGTTCAAATATGACATTATGTGGTCAAGATTAAACATATGCCTTTGTTTGTAGTTATAATAAATACTCGGTTTAAACCCCGGATAATTAAGGATAGATTCGTCATGATTCAACTTAAATTCCCTTTATAGTAGTTGGCTTGTTTCCATCTTCACTCTGCCGCTCTATTGATGTGGGGATATGTTTGGAAATCTAAGCACATTTCCTACTTTAGGAAATGTGACAACTTTTTTTCGGTGATCTTAAAATAGTATACATGATTATTGATTCTGAATAGAGGGAGTTATTAGCATCAAATTATGCTAGTCATTTGAATGGAGAAGTTGTATAAACATAGTTTAGCAGTGCCCAATTGGAAGATTTAGGGGGTGTTTGGCAGAGAATTCTAATTTTGTCCTTGTTACTCGCTTCCTCTCTCCTCTCTCCTAGGATGACAATATCCATATTTCGCTCCATACAAAAACAATAATTACAATGGTTTTCAAACTCAAAGCATTAAATTTTGAAATGCACAAATGTGCATATATCAAAGCTAATACTAACTTAGAAGTTAGACCTTTAGCCGAAAACGTATAACTAATTATTTTCTTTTTAACAACTTGATCTTACATTTGTCATGCATTTTTTTAGCTAAAATTATATGCATGACATTATGGCGTAGCATCTATTACATTTTCCATCGATGTAAATCAAGATGTAAAGATTTCACTGGCTGCTTGAAAATCACATCCTTCCTAGATTTTTTTTTTCCTTGTTACATAGCGCTTGAAGATTTGAAGGTGACTTCAATTTTTAGTTTGAGCTGAAAATTGATACAATTATGCATAAGATATGTTCCTAGTCACGTATACTATTTTGGGATGTCCGGAAAAAGGTGTCACTTTCCTATCATAGATAATGGTTTAATTATTATTAGATTTCCAAATATTCCACCACTTTGATAAAGTGATGGATAGAAGATTGAAATGATTCAACTATTATGAAGGGCCTTATTGTAAATCATGTCATAATTAAGAGGAGATTGGAACAATGTAGCAATTGTAATCAGAAATAATATGTCAATGTAGTTAATCTATTGTCATTCTGCCATTGACAATATATTATTGTCACTGTAACAGAGATTTTATTGTTATTGTGTGCTCCATCTTTGATCAATTTGGCTCCAATTTTTCTTAATATTATTATTATTATTATTATTATTATTTTTTTTTTTTTAAAAAAAAAAAAAAAAAAGATCAAAGACACCTAGGTTCATTGCATTTTAAAATGGAACATCTCATTTGCCACTGCTTCGATCTTTCTGTTTCTAGATGGCTTCTTGATGTCTTGTAAGGCATGTGGTATGTTTCTCTATCAACTGAGATTAGCAGTGAGCCTTTAACAATTTCATTATATCGAATTTTTTTGGGTTCATATATATTGCTCCAATGTTACTTCCTGCTATGTTGCATACCTCTTTGATTGTATTTTAATTTTTGGAGAATCTTGAAGATCCCGGAGTCTATGTTCTATAGTTGCTTAGCTTGATTGCAAGATATATGTTGTTGTCTGAGAACTTGCATCTTTGCTTTCACTCTCATTCTATGCCCATCTTTTCTAATGATTGATTACAATCGATTTATTACAGGCTCAGATTCCCATAATTATTCATCTAAAGATTGTTTGACGATGAGAGAGAGCACGCTTAAGCAAGCTTGTCGGGATCTATGCAAGTAACTACCAAACTGTGTACATGCGTGCTCTCTCTCATTGTCATATAATCTAAAGATGGAGGCAGCTTGTTTTCTTCTATCCTCGTGCTTCAACAACATCCACTTTGATGTATGTGAACATGTTCAGAAATTTCTTGGTGCTTCACTCTTATTGGAGATGAATGGTGATTATATGCACAGCTTGTCATCTTCATGTAAGTGGATAGACATTGATCAGATTCTCTTGCATAGATTTATTTCTTATTCAAATCACATTACTCATTTGTTTTAGATGCAAATTTACCCTTGATTTTGAATTGATTAATTATGTTGGTAAAATGGTAGTTAGTAGAGAATTTGACACCCATAAAAATCAGCCCTTAAGTCTACTAGTGAAGTGTATGCTTGTTCCGTTTTCTGTTGTGATTCCTTTTGAAATTTATTATTAGTATTTTTGCTTAGTTTTACTCATGTAGTTGAGTTAATAAATATGAAGAAAAATCTTTCGATTTTATAGATCACTGTTTGTATTGTATAGGCAGCTTTGTTAGTAATTATGTCATTGTCTGAGGAGAAAATGTTCAGATTTATTAGTCCCAAATTCATTTCTTGATGCATGAGCTAATGTCTATTGAAATTATATAATAGATTTGCTCTTCTTTGCAAGGATAAATTGTTGTTAATAATGTTAAAATTTTGATTTTCAAGTGGAACTAGGTACGTTTCTGAATGACGAGTTGTATTGTACCAAATTTGTTTTTCCGTTTGTTGTTTTATGTAAAGATATATTATGTACCGGACAGACATGTTCATGGCAATCATAATGATAGTGGAGCCTTATTAAGACTATAGGAGTAAATGAGTAATAGCAGATGGAGATAGCTAGGTCTTGTTACTCAGCTCGCCAATTAGGTTTCCCAGTGCTGGGCATCTTATAAGTAAAAACCTAGTCATCATGACAGTCATGATGATAGTGGAGCCTTTCAAATTTATGCTTATAGGACTATAGGAGTGACTGAGTAATAGTTGCATTGGTGGAATAGTCCTTGCTCCTTTGCTAAAAATCTCAATTACAACAATCTACAATGCCTTTACTGAAGCCTTCATTAATCTATCCCTCACTTTATCACATGTTACCTCATCAATTGGGTTTCCCAGCCTTCATTAATCTATCCCTCAGATGTATTATAGTGGCATTGTGCTTAATGGGAATTTTTGGTACACTACCATACAGATTAGCAGTGAGCATTATCTCATCATCCAATTTATACTATAACTTTATAAGTATTAATTGGACATTTTGCACTTGCTTGCGCGCACATTGGATTGGAAATCATAATTAACACAACTTCTCTGCACACCCCTTGTATGAAATCTCCTTACGCTTAAGAAATCTTTATTAGATAGTATTACTTCAATTTATTTTTTTAACAATTACTCCATTTACTTATTTGAATAATTGTAATTATAGTTTCCCTTTTTTTAAAAAAAATCTTTATAAGATAGTATTACTTCAATTTATTTCTTAACAATTACTCCATTTATTTATTTGAATAATTGTAATAGTAGTTTTAATGTATAAAATAATATTACTTCAATGTATTTCTTAACAATTACGCTACGCCATATACGTGCGTATATGAATCATTGTAATTGTAGTTTTGCATGAATAATATTACCCCAAATTACGATTGTAGTAGGTAATTATGACAAGTACTACATTTAAATAGTTATATTATTTATTGTTCGAAATTTTCAAAAATTATGGACCCCTAATCAAATATGTTTATGGAAGAACATTTGGTATATGATGTTGATTTTTTGATAAGTACTTCGTATTTTATATTTTTGAGTTGTAAAATTTTAAGTATTTCTAATTTTTTTTTTTGCTTCAATATTTTTGTCAAACTAAGCAATGTTCATTTGTCCCCCCGGTTTAAAATTCTTGGCTCCGCCACTGGCTAATATTATACATACCATTCATCAAATGGCAACAAGTTTTTCTTTGGCAATTAAAATGAAGCTTTATTTTGGAACTTACATAGCATACATGCATCAATTGTTTATACTTCTGAAACAATGATTTTTTATTTATTTATTTATTTTTTATTTTTTTTATAAGTTGAGAGATTTGATTCTTATCAACTCAATGCTGTATATGTTTCTATACAGGCACACTCATTTGCTACTAAACTGTACAATTATTTAATTATCTTCACTGTTCAACTTTATTACTTGTTTTCAATTGTTGACTGCCAGGTTCCCACCTTAATTTTCTGATTAATGCAATTGTGAAGGTGTTTGTGGCATATGCATATGCGTAAATTCATCCATTCTTTTATTGTATATGGTTTGATACACTTCATAGCTGATCATCAGCATGTAAGCTCTTTAATTTTCGTTCTTATGTGGTTGTGCTACGGTGGTTGGATATGTTAGCGTCTTATAATAAATTTTGAATCTTTTTAAAGCAATTAAGTGCTTGCATATGTTAGCGTCTTGTAAAAAATTTTGAATCTTTAAACTAGAGTAACTCTTGAAAGTTTGTTGAAACTTCTTAGTAAGGAATTGTTAAAGTAAAGTGGCTCTGGAGAGGCTCAAACCTTTATCAACCCTACTCAAGCCATAGACACCACATACATAATTGCCATATAAGCATTGTATATGCCAAATTGTGTCTCCTAGTAGGTCCCTACAAATCCCTCAAAAATTCATTGGCGATAAGTTTAAGGAAGGGAAATGCTTATCCTTAAGACACTAGGAACAAAGCACATACTCCTCGAGTTAATGCATCACTTTAAGATGAAGAAAGACATGTTATGTGCCTTTCTTAATTAAGAAAAACGACACTAGGAAAAAAGGAATGTGAGGTGGAAAAACAAAAAGACTTGTCATAAAGGGACCTTGGCAGTGTCAATCACCCATCCCAGGCCATATCCTCAAAATTGGCAACATAGATGCTAGCTTCAGTTTTATATATATATATATATATATTTTATTTATTTATTTATTTTAGGTTGGTGAGACCTCTACCCATGAAGATACACATTGAATTGAGATGTGGACACATGACATCATGTTGCTTCACTCCAAAAGGCAAACTATGAAATTTAGGCATTTTGTTTCCTCTTAAAAACTACATGTAGTGCTCGACCTATATATATGTATTGATATTATATCAAGTGTGTTATATATTAAGAAAACCGACACCCTAATTCTATGTTTACCCTAAGATACTCCGTTTAGCTTAGTGCTCCCAACCCTAACTTTCGCCAACACGAAAATGACATAGGAGTATAGGACAGTAAGGACATTTATCACTTATGTATAGCTTTAAGCCTTTAACCCAATTTGGTATTGTACCCTAATTCTATTTTTACTCTTAGATATTCTGTTAGCTGTTCCCAATCCTAACTTTCACCAACACAGAAATGGCATATCCCATAATTGCTCCCACTAACACATACACCACCACTAAGAGTGGCTTATGAAGCATGTATCCAATATTGTGGATAGATATAAGGACAAGTAACCTTTTTGAAGATATTATCACTCTTTTAGGGCTTTAGCCACCTAACATGGTTGTTGGGGAACGTGTTTATGAAGCAATATATTATTTTGTGTCTATAAAATTCACTAAACCATTTTCTCTCAAAAATAATCACATTTATCCAACTCACCCTATTTAACTTATTTAAAAAGTAAATAAAAAAGACAAAAACCATCCCGGTCCTTCAAATGAATTTCATCCATATCCTTTCTCTACAAGAGCATACAACATTATTCACTCTATCTTCTTCAAAAACACACAAGGACAACATAATAGTTTATGTAAGCACCTTGCATGCTAACTTGGTTAGCTAGCACCACCTTGAGAATTTATTAAGCATAAGTAATATAAATTGATTAGATGGTACTTACTAACCTACATAAGTGGCCCCTATGAAATGCTCCCTCTTGCTAAAATTATTTGCTCCATGAGAAAATGGCACACTATTTTAGAAGGGAGAAAAGGTACATATAAAATTTTACTATAAAAGGAGCAAAGCAATTGATATGAGATAGCCAAAAAAGGAAAGTGGGATAAGTAAATTGAAACCAAGTGAGTTAATTCAAGTTTATGGTTCTTTATTCTTGCCTTTTTTACAATGTTCTCAAAGACATGAAAGAAAGATGGTGTACACTTGGCTAGGCATAAGTTATTCCCATCCTTACTACTTATCTCCTCACTCATAAATATATACTTCCTACTCTTGTATCACATGTTTTTTATTATGTTATTAGCTTTTACTTCTATGAGAACCTTCCCTGTGTCACTCTAGAACAACTAATCTCTTGTAGCACCTCCTTTGTCCTTTATGATTGCCTCTTTGGAGTATGGTTACTTCGTTAAGTATAATTTTGGGTGTGTGAAGTTGCTAAGTGAGGAAATTGGTGGAATAGAAAGTAGTAATGTAAGACTAGGTGGTGGTTCCTTGTGGTTGTACATGTTATAAAGGAAACTCAAATAGACAAACCAAAAATAAAATTAGTGCAATCTGAGAAGGATGGAGGGAGTAGTTGCTTATCAACCAAATCAATTGACCTCATAATAAGTTTGTCCTTTTGATTTCTTATGTTTAGGAAACCTCTTTATTACACACCACACCTTTAATTCTCGTTCCATAGCATCTATAAATTCATATGTCAAATCAAATGCTTTCCAACCATGGATATCTCTCTCAACCTACTATTCTTCCACACCCCTTTTCTTTCCATATATTGGGATTTGTTGTTCACATATGAAGCTTACAACTGGAGAAGCTTAGAAGGGCAATAAAAGTGATGTAAACAAGGCACTGCAAAAAAAAAGCCAGTTTACTGATTGAAATAAACAGTATTTTACATTATTGAATGGAGATCACACAACTCTTAATTTCAATTAAATGTGCATGTTCACATGTGAGCTAGCCTTCACCCCACCTGTATTTCCTTAAGCTCTCCCCAACCTCTCAAAAGCCGTTGAAGTCACCACATACAATCCAATTTGTCGAACACATTGAGGACAATACGTGTCATGTGTTGATTCATTGATATCAATGTCAAATAGATGGTGATTAGGAAAAACATTTCAAGAAGACTACCTAAAGAAATCCTAGTTTCTCATTTAGCAAATGTACACCTTTACTATTTCCTTTTCTCTTTTCGGTGAGGAAAAGGTCATCAAAGATGCACATGTATAGGGATTCATTTTTTATGGCCTTTGTAATCTAAATCGGCTTAACCTTTCTCCCGAACCTTTTACATTCCATCCTTATTGACAAATGGCAATAATTTAAACCGCTATCTTCAACCAGCTTCCCTTATCAGGCTTAAACATTCCACTGAGATATTTGAGCCCTTTATGTTTTTTCTTTTGGTGTACCCTACCAAAAGATTAGGGATAATTCCTTGAAACATATAAAGTGGCCAATATTTCCGTTAATATTCTACTCCTTATGCATTCTTTTTAAAGCAGTGTATATTTTATTGATTTTCTTTGAACTGTTATCAATAATTATGTTTGTAAGTTACAGAAATATTTCTTTGGGTGGTTTTCCCTCTGCCCCTAGCAATGTTCCTATTAATATCTATAACTACAAATTAGAATATAAAATTGACATTATAACAGTATAGATTGTAATGAATCTAATGAGATTTGGTAGTCAAATTTTGGCTCTATGACTGCAGTATTCCAAGCTATTAGTTAGAAAAGCATGAGGGGATGAATTTTTCTTAGCTAATTATCAATTGTCCATCTTTGCACTCTAGTCTTTACTCATGATAGTCTGAAAGGACTTCCATATATCCTTTTATTATATAAGGGAAGGGGTTTTGGCAGACTGAAATTTACGATGTTCTTATTCTCTGTCTACTTCCCAGGGAACTGATGAATCTTTTACTTCCTTGTCACATGAATTTCCATCATTACATTTATCGAGTCTGCAAAGTTGTATATCCAATATAGCCTGGCATATAGGGCTTGAATGTTCGAAAATTTTGGCTGTGATGGATATGAGACCTCAAGGCTGAGGGAGGAATTTTTTTTTTTTTTTTTTTTTTTTTTTTTTTTTTTTTTTTTTTTTTTTTTTTTAAAGATTATCATTATGATCTTTGTAGACCTAAGTCGAACTGTAAGGATTTCAGTTCTGAAGCTGATTGGTGTTTGTTGTTTATAGATTTGAACTAGAAAGATTTTAGTTGTAGGCTGTCTAAGCCTTTTGTTTTAGTTTGTAGACACTTCTGAAAAGTAAACATGGTGCGAAGTCTAGGCTTTGGCAGGTATCATTTTTGAGACGGGTAATTCCATGTTTCTCTTCTTGATAAACATGGAATGTATCTCATAGGGTTAAACTTGCCTTTTTAACTAATAAAACAGGGGTAAAATGTAATTTTCTATTTTTCTTTTCCTTTTGCACAAATTACTGCAATTTCTGAGTTTCTGATTGTACCATTGAAGTAGCTTCTCTCCTCCATTCAAGCACCTTTCTCTCCACCATTGAAGCAGCTTTTGAGGTTAAAAAAACGAATAACACCTACCATCTAGGGTTAACAATGCCCTACATTTTCCATTCTTAGGGCTTTCATAGAATTTGCCACCGGAAACCGTTGGAAATGGCTGTCGAGATGGCGGGTTGGGGTTGGTCTATGTCGTGGTGTTGGGGGGTTGTCTAAAATCTTGGTAAAGATTCCACCATTGTCACGTTGTTGAGAAGCCATGAGAAACTAGAAGAAGGAAGTAGAAGAAAGAAGGGTAGGAGGGAGAGGGGTAAGTCTAGCACCCAAAAATAAATAAAATATTGATGAAGTTGCTTTTATTTACAATTCTTGCCAAATGTTTCTCAAGAAGAGAAACTGGGGCTCACCCGTATAGCTTCCGGTCACTAGGAGCGATGCTTTAATTTATATAGTTGTTGGTTATGCTTTGATACCATCAGAGTGATTCATGTTTTCAATTTATGTGTGATACTGTAGTTTTCTTAATAAAATTGTGTGATAGTATCATTAGTATGTGCCTCAGATGCTATTTGAATTTAGGAAAAATTGCAAAAAACCACCTTTTAGAACACTTTTTTTTTTTGTGAAAAAACACCTTATAAAAATTTTCTTTTGAAAGCACACCTAAAACCACTTTTTTTTTTTTTTTTTTTTTTTTTTTTTTTTTTGCGAAATAACTCTTTAACCTGGTTTTCAGTGTTTGACTTGGTTTTCCAGTGTTGACTTTGCACGTGTGGGTTACGTGATCTCATAAAACCATCTTTATTTTTTTTCTTTCTCCTCACCAACACCACCTCACCGCCACCACCACCTCACTGTCACCCCCACCAACACCACCTTACCGCCGCCACCAATTCACTACCACCCTCGCCAACACCATCCCACCCAATAAATCTACTCCAATAAAAATTCCACCCCCGTTAATTCACCCCTATCCACCCAAAAACCCCACCCCACCTCCTCACCCCCTTCTTCCATTGAAGCCCAATAAAGCCCAATGAATCAAAGACCACATTGGTGTGCATCCTAAACACATTGGCCCCTCGAAATTACTCCTAATTCCATCATTGCTGGGCAAAAATGGTAACCCTAATTTTCAATTACAAACCCAATTTTATGGAACCCAACATAATTTACAAGAAATTTTAGTAATTACAACAACTTACCTTACGCTTAAAATGGAGCTTCCTTCGTCAATGGTGAGTAGTTGGGACTTTGTTGGAGAAGAAGGGAGGAGAGAGAAAGTTGAATTGGAGAAATGGAGGGTATATTCGAGGAGCGAGGGAGCCCCAATTCCTCGTCATGAGAAACACTTTTGTTTCTGATAATGGAATTTTGGAAAATAATGTGATGTTTTTCACTGTTGGGGACCGCGTATGTGTCATGAGTGGGAGACCTAGATCTTGACACATACCCCATGAGAAACAAAACTTGTTTCTCACAATGAGAAATAGAGAATTACCCATATTCGAGGGGAAAAAAAATATGAAAAGGGGGAACTCACCGGAACACATGCTTCTCATGTGCAAGTCAATGCCTTCAAACTAAGTCAAAGGACGGGAAACCAGGGTAAGGTGTTGATTCGCAAAATAAAAGTGGTATTAGGTGTGCTTGTACAAAAAAAATATAAGGTGTTTTTTTACAAAAAAGTTGTTATAAAAGGTGGTTTTTTGCAATTTTTCCTTGAATTTATTACATTTATTGGAATTTTTAGATGCAGCTAGGTCAGGCTGGTTTGCAGTGAAATCTCTTCTTATGTTCTTGTTGAGTTGTTGGTTTATTATGACCAAATTAAATTGGGTTATATCTTATCCTATTTTCCTTTATGTCATTGAACATTGTTTTATGAGGAATTGCTCTAATTCCAGGGAAATATAGTTCAGTGAGTAATATTATTGGATCAAGTCTGTTTCAAAGACGTGAAAATATGATTAGTATCCTTCATGTGTCTATAGTGGTAATGGGCATTTCTGATCCCTTGATTTCAAATTGGTTTCCTGCATGAGTTTCTTAAGTTATGCTAATTTTGATGTACATCTATATAATAATAAGATGTATGGTGTTGCCTGTGGGACTGAGAATTTTCTAGTGTTCAAGGTTATTTGTGATTAATTTAGTGTGGAATTGTACTCGAGCTACATCATTAATTGTTTAAGCCTTTATATATTTTCACTTTCACATACTCAGTTTGAAGAATTTATCATTTTGTGTGCATTTTTTTGGATGTAATGGTGTTTTCTGTGATCCAGGTGGTAAATGTGTTGATGGATCATAGTTAATTACAATTATTATTAATATTTTTTTTTAATTAAAAGAGAGATTTTATTGAAGCACTTGAGAAAAAGTTTATGGCCTTTGTGGGCAAAAGCCCCTTTGTTAGGGGGATAACATCCTACCAAAAGGTGGGTGGCCTCCCAAAGGAAACACTTGATTTGGGATCCTAAATAATTGAGCATCGTATTGCCATTCCACTTTTTGGAAATGTTGCTCATAAGCAGTGTGCCATTATGTTGTAGTTTCTAGTCACCCTTTTTGTTCCTGTGAAATTGTTGATAGCTTAAATATTCATTTTGGATGTATGTGTTCTTATTCATCTTCAACACAAGCGCGGTTTTGCTTACCTTTTAATTTTATACTATAGAGGATATGATTTGAATTAATCATGATGAAACAAGGGTATCATGCCCTAATGTTTATTGCTGCCTGTATGTGTTTTCACATCTTTTTTCTGTTGCTGATCTGTATTAAACTCTTATACAGCATAATGTTTTTCTATTATCTGATAGGCCATTTTACATTGAGGAGTTTCATCTTTTTTGGTGTAATAGTTGCAGGAGCCAGATGGTGGTGTTATATTCAGGGATAAAGGCGGTACATACATTTTTAAAGCAGGTAAGATATTGCTCCTTCGTATTGTTCCTTCTGAGCAAGCCCTAGCCAGGGTTTTGCCTTAACATCAGATTAGATACCTTTTCCTGCACATAAGTATGTGTGTACTGCATTTTGTGTATCTGTGACCTGCAACTCTTGTTTAGCAAATTGCAATTCGAGCATTGGGGATGGTCCTTGAGAAGATGTTCATTTTGATTTCCGACTTAGATATGTCGTATGGGTTTAAGACACGGGCATGTGATATCAGTTATTTAGTGAGCAATCGTGCTGAAGTGAACACCAGTAACACCACCTTCAATTTTTTTCTTGGATGAGATACGCACGTCTAATTCAGAGTAGATCATTCTACACATATAACGGGTCATATCACTCATATGATGCCCCATACTTTGTCATGCTTAAAAATTAATTGTCACTATGAAGCATTCCATTATAGCTTGATGACCTAATGGAATTAATTTTGTACTTGGTGTTACTTAATGTTACTTGGTAGTTGTAGACTTGTAGCATCTTTATTTTAAAAGTACGAGTATAAATATTTCAGATTATATTTAGAGACTAATTAAGCTAACTACTTTTATATATTGACCCGTACCATATACGAGTAACATATTGTTTACACGAGTAGATTATTAATTTGTCATATTCTTGACGTTCATTTTTGTTTTTTCTCCAAAATCATTGTACCATTGGCAGGTAACAACTCGTAAAGTCGTACTCCGTGATTGAAGCAGCCACTAAAGTCTTGAGATAGATCATTACATTATTAAATTTGCTATTTTGTCGGTGAAGTGTGAATAAATTGATATGATAATAGAGTAGGGGTGAAAATCAAAATTCAATTTCGATCTGATTGGATTGAAATTTTTTGAAAAATCGGATTTTCGGATTGGATCGAATTGACTTGTTTGGATCTAAAATACCGAATTAACCGAAATATGAAATCATACTTTTATAAATATTGATTGTATTAATTATGTAAAATTATGTTGATAATTTCATTAATATAAATTATGTAAAACTATGTTTTCAATACTTGTATTAATAATGTACAAATTTATGATTGCTTTTTTATTTTTATAATTACTTTAGACCTTAAAAATTTGCAATGTATTTTAATTCGGATTTTTGGATCGGATCTAAATAACCGAATTGTAATTCGGATTGGATTGAATTGGATTGGATTGATGAGAAATTCGAATTGGATTGGATTTGAAATTAAGGAATTTTATTTCGGATCAGATTGAATTTGATCAAAGTACAAACCGAAAACTGAATAGACACCCCTAATTGGTAAATGAAAATTTGGTTTTACCAATTTTAGGTTTAACCGTTTAACGGTTTAAGCAGTAGCGTGATGCCACGGTTCCCTATGCCTCTACAGTTTGCCCTTGTTACCCTCAAAACTTTACAAGCAATGTTGCTCTCTCAGTTCTTTAATATACTCCATAGTTGTAGAGTCAATTTTTAATTTATTTATTTAATTTTTTTTATGGGTGCTTTATTACTCTCTCTATTGATACTAATATAAGTGTGTTTCATTTTATGTTAGACAAAATATTGTTTACAAAAAATGAGTACTTTTCAAACAAAATCGCACGTAAATTAGACAAAATAAATTGTGAGCTGCTAAATGTCGCTCCCATTTTGACATGAAAAGATCATATTGCCCTTTTCATAACTTGAACTATATAAGGTTCCACCACTTGGTTAAAAAGATTTTCGAGCATTTTAATATTATTTCCGAGCACATTCGATCCACCACTTAGTTAAAAAAAAATCCCGAGCCCACCACATCCAACTCCTCAACATCCAACCCAAAATTCCCGAGCCCACCACCAAAAATTCGATTTTTTTTAAAAAAAATTTATTAAGCTTTAGTGACGGGTTTAGGACGATGGATAACGACAATGATCTTACACCGGAGGCATCGTCGGAGGATTCCGTAAGTCCTCGAATTTTATGTTATTTTTTGAAAAGCGAACATCCACCTAAAAAATCTGGATCCTCCATGGTGGATCCGCCTTAAATTTCTGGATCCACCATGGAAGATCCAGATTTTTTAGGTGGATGTCCAATATTTTTCTTTTTGTTTTTTTTATTGATTAATTAATCAAAAGGATTTTTTTTTGAAATTAATTAATCAAATTTATTAATGTAATTTTTGTATGATAATTATAATTTTTTATTGATATTATTATTATTATTATTATTATTTTTGTGATAATTTGAGTAATTAGTATTAGTATTATTAGTCAATAATAGTTATTTTTGTGAATTTTCTTTTTTTCTTTTTTTTTTTTTTTAAATTTCAGATTTTTAAGTTTATCGAGCGTGAAATGTGTTGTAAGTGTCGTGAGTATTTATATACGAGGGGTAATTACGGAATTTCAAGGAAAAAATGTCAGGGACGCCTAGTAATTTGGGAGCGACATTTAACAACACCCAATAAATTTGAGTAATTTCAGATAAAATAGTTTTAAAAGGAATAAGTTGAACCTCTATAGAGCATATGATTCTTCACTTCTAATTATTGGATCTTGGATGGATTTTTCACTAAAAATATATAAACAGTAATCTAGATTACATTGCAAATAATTAAGATTAAAAAAAGAAACTCCATGCTGATTATCTTGTAAATCAATTCATTAAATTCTCCAATCCCATACTTTTTTTGTAAGCTATACGCAAAACATCATATTTAGTACAAATTATAAATGGGGATGGAGGAGGTACGTAAGAACTTGGTTAAGCTTACACGCATCTAATGATCTAAATTGTTGGCTCATTAATCAAATCTAAGTAAAGAACATGTTAGTTCACCGACAAAAATATACAAAGTGTAACATGACTACATGAGTCAATCAGGTTTTACCATGATTTCAAGTTAAAACCATGTTAATGCATTCAATTATACGTGTAATATGCCTACTCCACTTGCCACCTACAAAAACATATGTCATTACTGCTCCTAAAACCCATACTTTACTTTGTATTATTAATTTTATAATTAGCTTTTTGACCACCATACTCAATTGTCTGTCACTGTTGTAGTGAAATATAGAAAAGATGTTAACAATGAGTACAAAGCCCGAAGCATTGCATCTCCATACTTTTAGAGGCGTCAATTTCAATAGTGGTCGGGTTTGAGTCCGATTTAGTTGAATTATGTCATTTTAGATTTAAGTCATGCTAAATTATTATGTCCATTTGCTTATGTAAATAATTTTAAACATCACTTCCAAATCATCATCATCACTTTGGATTAAGTTTGGTACTCCATTTGTTTCAAGATAAATGTTTGCCTGTACAAAACTTTGTGCAATAATATTTTCAATATCCATAAGTATAAGATACTTTTATAAAAAAAAATTAATTAATTTTGGAAACTGTGAATAAGACATTTTTAATAAGTGTACTGTGCACACATAAGCTGATACGCTCTTTATTTCATAACAATTGATGCACTTCGACTTCTTTTTTTTAACTATTTATATACTAACTTTGACTATAGTTTTTGGGTAATTTATGAAATGTTAGTACTTCCTCTAAAAAATTTTCTCATTTTGATTGCGCATTGACACATTAGTAAAAAAAATATATTCCTTTATTATAAAATAATTGACACATTTGACTTTCTATTTATCACAGTATTCATATACTCTATATTAACTTTGACCATAGTTAATGTTTGTATAATTTGAAAATACCACCATCTATTGTTGTCATTTTGTACATATCGCCTCAAGGTTTTTTTTTTTTTTTTTTTTTTTTTTTTTTTTTTTTTTATATATATATATTTTTTATTGTATTTTACCACCTAATTTTATCAAAAATAGTAAAAACTACCACCACTTTTGCCCGACTCTCCTATATGACGTCATGGTGGGTCCCACTAACCAATTTTCGTTCGAATTTCACCTTTCTTCTTTCCTAATCATCCTAATTAACCAATTATACCCTCGATTTTGCATTGTCGTTTGGCTTGAAGAACAAATTAGCGAATAAAAACCCTAAATAACGTCTAATTGATTTGCAAATTGATATTAAACTTAGACAAAGAGGAAGAAGAAGGAAGAACAAATGTGAGAATCGAGGGAAAAGAGAGGAACAATTGGTAGTGGGACCCACCGTGGCATCATATAGGGGAGTCGGACAAAAGTGATGGTAGTTTTTAGTGTTTTTTGATAAAACTAGATGGTAAAATACAATAAAAAATAAACTTGAGATGGTATTGTAAAAAATAATAACAATAGATGGTGGTATTTTCAAATTTTCCTTAACTTTATAACGTATTAGAAACAAATTTTTATTATGAAATATTCAATGTTATTTTAAAACAAAAAATTAATGTGTTTTTTTTTTTTTTTTTTTAAAATGGGTAATTAATATACTTCTTTTTTTAATACTTCGTACGAGTATTAAGTTGGGAATTTATTGATAATTTACGAGTATAAATTAGTGTAATAAATGTAATTTAATGTCCATTCTTTTCACTTTTAGCTTCTTATATGCAGCCTTAATTAAGGCTGCATATAGCTTTTTTCCAAAAAAATAAATACGCAGATACTTCCTCCATTCTAGTAATATTGCAACAACTGTACTTTTGCACTGTTTATCATGCTTGTTAGACTACAAATTATGATTTATTTGTAAAGTAAAATATAGTCACGTGGAGTCTTGTTAGATTCGTCTTGTAAAATACTTTCACAATATCAAAATTTTTATAATTTTTACTCTTATATAATAATAGATGTTTTACATATAAAACGTACTTTCGGATGCGTAATTTCATCTTTATTGCAATATTTGTAGAACTCTTAGAGTAATTTTTATACCTTTATCCACACTTACATTGGGTAACTTTAGAAATTAACACACGAGAGGCCCCACTTTGTTCCTCCTTGAAAGTAAAAAAATTCTGCTAGTTTTAGACTTTAATCAATTGCTAAGCAACCTAAACTATTGGGCCACTCTCCACTCCTTCAAACATTCTTCCCTCTCTTTCTACCTTTTTTTTACTTCCACCTTCAATATTTATCAACTTTCATAATCACTGTTTTTCTTCTCTCTTCTTTTTTCCCTGAAAATGAAGTCCTCCAAATTTGTAAGTTTTTTTTTATTCTTATTTAACATTTATGATCATTTTAAAGTTTTGATTTTTATAGTTTTTTCCCCTTTGTTTTTTCTTTCCTTTTATGATGTGTGAATGTGTTAGCTCAAGCTTTATTATGCTCTTATACTTGTATGTTATTTGGCAACATTTAATTGGAATGTTATTGCATGATTTTTTTTTTCTTTTATGAATGAATTGTGGGTTGGGAGTGGAAAATTAATTCAACAATTGTGTTAGTATATTCTGTTTGGGAAAATGAAATGATTTTACTAGGCTGGTTTATCAATGTCACATGAGTTTTAGTAGTTCTATGTAAATAATTAGAAACCCATCACTTTTATGAAAGTTTTGAGAAAGATGAATAAAAGATAATTCTGGGTTTTAAATAAATTGTCCAATATTGGTGCCAGAATGGAAATATATGGATCATAATGTTATATAAAAGGCTTCAATCTATTTCGGTAGCAAAATTCTAGTGTCTGGATGGATATGGAGCAATCAATGTGTCTAATTACAATCTGTAGGTCTTTAGATAGATGAATGGAGAAAACTGGGTTTTGATAATCCTATGTTAGTAGATGAAAGTAGAAGAATTTCAATGTTTAGCTACTAGTATGAAGCTCTGGGTACTTGTTTTTATGACAAACTATTGTTACTGGAAATTACTCATCAGTGAGCAAGTTCTGAATTGGGAACCATAAGCCTGAATAGTGAATCACCATAAATCCGATCTATTAGCTGTAGTTTATGAACCATCTTGTTAGCTTTATGTGGGTAGATTAACCAGAAGAATAATTAATAACAATTCAATAGTTTGTTGTTAGTTGATAATTAGACTAAGCATTTATGCTGTTGATAAGGCTAAGCAATCTAAATCCTGTCAGCAATTGAACCAACTGGGATGTATCAGATTTAAAGCTTTGTTCTTGCATTACGTTTACAGGAAGCAGAGGTTCATACTACATAAGTGCATGCTATAGCTGGCTGACTGATAGTGTATAATGGTGTTTTGTTCGTGCGCAATGCTACCAATGATAAAGATTTTAGAATTTTTTCTTGGGTGCTCTTTTTGTCGTGTGAATTTCGTTCAACTAAAAAGAGTATAAATGTAATTAGGATGGTTAAAATTCATGATTATCAACTAGTACCATGTAAGTGACATGCAAAAGATTTTTTGTTGATTTTTCAGTGAATTGCTGGAGTCCTAAACCTTGGTCAAAAACTATGTCATGAATGTATTACTGTGGTTTATCTTCCTGTTGCATGATAGAAATGATTGGGGTATATAAATACCGAAATTCACTGAATTATCTACCTATTACATATGATAATTAAATTTGTATATCATTTACCAACCAGGTGACTTCTTTTGGTTCTAAAAGACGAAGATCCTTTTCTATAAAGTCCCTTCCGACTCTGGCTTTGCTCTGTGCTGCTGTCTTTATTGGCAGTGCATTCGTTATAACAGATTATAGAAAGGTACATATCTTTGTTTGATTTGCTCATGGTTTATATTTTTATCATGTGGATGTAGAGTATGGTGTCAATGTTTTTTTGGCATGCACATGTTTCTGTTGTGACTTGTGAATTCCTTACCCAACAATATTTTCAATCGAGACTAGCTTAAACTGTGTTAGCTCATGTTCATGATTTCTTTGACTTTTAGCTTAAGTAATTGCATTGACAATGATGAGCCCTACTATTGCAGAGAATCTCACCAAAGGACATGCTGAATAAATTTATGCGAACAAGATCTAAGAAGTGTGAGGTTTGTTAAAGTAAATGGGTTTTCTTGGACTTGTAGTATAATTTCTAATATTGATGTTTCAGAAAGTAACATGTACTATTTCCTTGTATTGTGTTCCTTTTCTTTCAGGGGCAATGTAAACCTATTGGTACTGAGGGATTGCCAAAGGGTATTATTTCGAGTACTTCAGACTTAGAAATGCGACCACTGTGGGGTACACCTGTTAAGAAGGTTAGCAAATACGAAGTACTATGCTATGAATACCACTGTGGGGTACACGTGTTGTGCTTGCATCTTCCCCATCTTTCTTGATCCTTCATAAATTGAGATGAAACTGACACCAATTTTTTGGTCTTTTTAGTTAGATGAAACTTAGTGGAGAGTATATTACATTATGTTTCTGATCCTTAGTGCAGGGCCACAATTGGGTATGCTAGGGGGTGGCTCCTTTCATCTGAAAATTAAATTGATGTGCAATTTGGTCTTTATTGTTGAATGATATAAATTTGTGTATATCCTACAAACCTCTATGTGTAGATTGATGGCAGTACATGTGCGCCATTAATGCCCACTCATGACACTAACACTTTGTTTGGATTGAAGGAAATGGAGCGAAAGGAAAGGAAGGGAAATGGAGGGAGGGATAATCTTTCATTTGATAACAAATGAGGGATGAAGGGAATTGGAGGGGAGAGAAATGGAGGGATTAAATTGTAAGAAATTGTTCTCTCCAATAATGGAGAGATTTGGATGGAAAACTCCTCTTTCTTCCCTCCCCTTCACCTCCCTTCCCTTCTTTTCTTTCCCATTTCTTTATCCAAACATACCGTAAATGATTTGGGATTTCTCTGTAATCTGATACAAATATCTCTTCCTTCTAATGTGTTTACCTCTTCCATATCCCTCAGAAAAAAAATATGAACTTGTTGGCCATGGCTGTTGGCTTGAAGCAGAAGGAAAGTGTGGATAAAATCGTGAGGAAGGTGAGAAGACAATTTGCTTTCAAGCTATGACTGAATTGTTAAACAACTACTGGACTGAAATGTTTATTTATTGTTCTCCTGCAGTTTATTGTAAACAATTTCTTCGTGATGCTTTTTCATTATGATGGCAATGTGGATGACTGGAAGGACTTGAGGTGGAGTTCCCGTGCATTGCATATTGTTGCTGCGCATCAAACTAAATGGTATTCATGGGGCTGGTATCACATCATGTCTACTGCATTTCTGGCAACAATATTTATCTAATTGTCTTTCCTTCAGGTGGTTTGCAAAGCGTTTCTTACATCCTGATATTGTGTCTCAATACTCATACATTTTCCTTTGGGATGAAGACCTTGGAGTTGAGAATTTCAGTGTTCAACGGTAATATGATCACCCTCTAAATTCTGTCAGTTCCTTCAAGGTAGGTTCTGGCTCTGCCTCTTATTGTCTGCCACAAGTTTTACAGCTATCTATATGTCATTAAGAAAGAAGGGCTAGAGATATCACAGCCTGCCCTTGATCCTGATAAATCAGAGGTCCATCATAAACTAACAGCTAGACAAAAGGGCGCACTTGTGCACAGGTTAGCTATCTTTGAATTATTTTAATAACGCAGTTAACTATGTGTCCAATAGTCATGATTGCAATTGCTTTGATAGAGTTTAGGATTGATGATGAAATCATGCAGTTGTAATTTCATTTGTTCATTTGGTTCTATTTTTAAGATGTGCTGCAGTGTTTGTCTCTAACATTTGGTAGTTAAAAGCCACAATCTCTTTTAGTGAACTTCGTACTCCTGTGGCTTTCTGGGCTGATATCTTGGTGTACTTGCAGGAGAATCAACAATGTCCTTCCTGGTGGGAGAAAGTGTGATGAAAATAGTACGGAACCTCCTTGCACAGGGTAAAAAAAAAATGTCTTGATGAATTTTCTTCTGTATATTTTCTTTATTGAGATAATTGGAGTTGATGACCCCTTCAGTTTTACCTGTCTAATACACAGTTTAATTGAGCTATTGAGCAATGCTGATATATTACAGATGGGTGGAGATGATGGCTCCAGTTTTCTCAAGAGCTGCATGGCGCTGTGCATGGTATATAATCCAGGTGTGCTTTCACTACCATACTATACATTGAACTATACTACTATATAATCCACTGTGCATGTGTTGAATGAGTGTAGTAGGTTAATTAGATAGTTTGTGTTTTTCATTGTTTTTTGTGATGGTAATAGGGTAGTGGATATCATTGAAGCGGAAAGGGTGATCTATTTCAAGGTTCCACCTATCGAAATAAAGAACCTTCTTTGTGAGGATATCATAGGGGTGGCTTGCTAGGCCACGGTTTATTGCTTACTTTTCTTTGTTGTTTTTCGAGCTTTGCCCTCATTTGCACCAAAAAAAAAAAAAAAAATATTGCAGAAGTTTCATGAAGACATTTCCTGCTACTAAATACTTTATGCTGTGGCTCAATAAACTAAACCACCTGATCCGATATGTCCATGATACTGTGGCTGTTACATGTATGGATGCTTGTCCAGACACTTGACTATTATTTGACAACCTTCACATTTCTTATGTTTTGCAGAATGACTTTGTTCATGCATGGGGTGTGGACTTTCGGCTTGGCTATTGTGCTCAGGCAAATATCCTCTATTAGAATTTTAATATATTCAATTTATCTATTGCCTGAATTCACAAAAATTCTAAATTCTGATATTTTCATTATATATACTTCACAGGAAGATAGAACCAAAAAAATTGGAATTGTTGATTCTGACTATGTTATTCACTATGGCCTTTCTACACTGGGGGCAGCCAGGGCACAGCACAGAACAAGGTAGAAATTCAGATAAATTACCAGTAGTTCCTAGAGTCTTGACTCATGGGCATCAACTAAATGTTTTTTTTTTTTTTTTTTTTTTTTTTTTTTTTTTTTTTTTTTTTTGGCACCATTTTGATTACTTTTTGGCATGTAGCTTATTGTTTGACAATTATATGCCTCTTGCTTTTCCCATACCTTGATAGACTGTAACAGGAAAGGTCTTACCCTTCTCCTGCTCCCAAAAACAGGATTTTAAAGAACAAAATTGTACCTTGTGTAGTGTGGCATATGATAGTTACTTCTTTACCATACATAGGGAAAACCATAGTTGGTTGTATTGTTAAGATGTAACATTACTGTTTGTTTTTCTATGCAGACTGATACAGAAGCCTCAAGTCAGGAAGTTGGAGAAGTCTCTTCATCGGATTCGTTGCAAGGGGTACCAACACAAACACATAGATTATTTTTCTTAAGACATTGAAAGAAGTTGCTAAGTGTATTCTTATTCATCTACTTTACATTTGCAGGAAACATCAACTTCCAACAAAACTGATGCAAGAAAAGCAGTGAGTCCTAATTAAAACACTGAATGTTTATTTATTTATTTATTTTTATTTATTTATTTTTTTTTTTTGCATGAAAATGGAACAAGAAACTGAAAGAAAATTTCTAAGTTTGTTTGGTTACTTTCAGTCAGATTGTTTCGATAAAGATGATGGTTAATTTTAAACCATTCTTCTGCAGGTGCGAAAACAGTCACTGACAGATCTAGAGAAATTCAAGAATAGATGGAAGAAAGCAGTAAATGATGACGATTGCTGGACAGATCCATTTCAGCGACCTATGAAGAAAAATTGCTGATATTTTTTTGATTAAATTATGTGAAGATGTTGTAATAGAAGTAACACACATCCTATTATGAGCATTAGTTTTCCAGATAGCTTATCCTACTGCTGCATATATGACAAGCAGATGGAGGTTTTTTTTGATAATTTTTTCTTTCTTTACCTATACAAGGCAAAATATGTAAAGTTGTATACCATTCATACTTCCTAATGAATCCAAACTGATTACAGTGCTATGTATGAGCTGTTTTATCCTTCTTGTATTCTCTTTCTTTTTACTCTTGCAGTAACTCTTCGAACATTTTTTATTCTGAAGAAAATGAATAATATTCCAGAAACAGTTAGCAACCTTAGCATCAAGAAAGAAGCAAACAAGCCAATGTAGATAACATGCTCACTCTACTTTGTAGCCCTGCCTACATATTTTCTGTGAACTGATAGTTTCTTAGCTATTAAACAGAACTAAGGAAATTCTTATCATTAGATTGAGTAGAAAGATTGAGCTAAATCATCCATTCATTTGACGTACTAAGGAGTATAAACATTTCTGCTTGTCATAGAAATTGCTACATTAAATTTTTTAGCAAAAACTATTTCGCCTGATCAGCAAGAATTGCGTGTTAAACCTTCAATAAAATGCAAGTACTATATACGTCTCTGTTTACTGAGCAGCCCAGCAACAATATTCCCAAGCTCTTCACCACTGTCTTCCTGTACATGATGCCCTGCCTGAAAAGGAGAGGAAAAGATTGCTAATCACAATGTTCAAGTAGATGAAAACAGTTACAGGCATGTCTAAGTAGGAAGAGAGTCAATACCATGGGGAGTTCAACCAATTTGTGATTAGACTCTTTGCAGAAATCTTCGACACCATCATAGTTTAGCCATCGATCCCTTTGACCCCAACAAACAGTTGTGCGGACTTTCCAGTTTTCATTCATGAGTATCTTCCTTGACTCCTGAACATAATCCTGTCATGTAACACTACACTACATGAGTGTGCAGAAATTTCTCTCTAATTATCTTCCCCCTTTTTTCAGACACCAAATCAATTCAGCAAAAACAACTTTAACCTTTAACTGCTTTTTCATAGATCTGCTGACTGCATTTAGTGCAAAACCAGAGGATCCTGATGTGAGATAGGGGCTTCTATAAACCATAGCATCATCTTCCTTCATTTTGTATGGACCAGAACTAGTCAATGCTTTGTCACTTGCTCTGAGAGGATCCTAGATGAGCAGCAAAGAAAATAAATTTGCACCATCATCGTGGCATATACTTGCTGGCCAAGCTAAAGTAGTCGTTTAACATGAAAATTTAAAGCAAAAGCAATAAAGCAAAGCCAACTAAATTAACTTTGTACCTGAGAAAAAATCTCCCCCAGCAGAAAGTTGCTGAATATGGACAATGACGATGGCAGATTGGCGTGCTTTGCAGTTATCTTTAGTAATTTGAAAGATGGGAAGAATGTCAAACTTCTACTTGGAATGTAAGGAAATACTTTGTATATTTCAACATGAATCTAGAACGTATTTCATAGCAGTAGAATCCTGTTTACTTATTCGAGCATCAGTTAGAGTTTGGAAACAAACACAACATTCTCTCAGAAGTTTGAGCTTGACACAACTGTAATTTTTTTTTTTATTTATTTTTTTATTTTTATTTTTTTTTTTGTAAACAAAAGAATTTAACAGAAAAGATTCGAGAAACATACGGGTGGATTAATTAGGATGACATCATTGACTTTATCCTGATGATCAAAAGCATATTTCACAACCACTGGTGAGAAGTATCCCTGCAGTAAACAACCCATTGAATGTTATTGCAGAAATCATTAAAATCGGAACTGTATAAGAAGAGAATGAGTACCTGTACAACAAGTGAAACCTTATTCGGAACCAGATCATCAATCAGAGTTTTCAAGGATGCAGTATATTCTGTAATAGCACCATCCATTAGCAATGTGAAGTTCATATTTGTTATCCTAAAAACACCCAAGAAAAATTGCATATAATTGCTTTGATCCATCAATTAATTTGGTAAGATGAAATCACCTTCCATTGTGTAGTCAAAACCATATTTAGGTTGTGGCTTATCTGAAAATCCAAATCCTGCAAGGGAGTGGAATAGCAACACAAATATATTATTCTCCTTTACCTCAAAACATCTATTAAACCTGTGACAAATATTACTATACCAAGAGGAGATCTACATATCACATATTACCACAGGATAGAAAAGTTGAAAGTGTTAATGATTTATGATAGAATTGAGATTACCTAGCCAATCAAAAGCAATGACATGGTAGTCCTTGGAAAGTATTGGAAGAACTTTGCGATATGAGTAAGCCTGTTGGAATCATGCACTCGATTAGATATGATGATTCAGATTACAAGAATGAATCCTTGCCTAAGATAAAATGCAGCTGCATCAAATGCTATCATATTTCGAGTGTTGTGTTCTGAAATCATTTTAGCATATAGCATCTAAATCTACTTCAATCAATGCTAACTGTGACTTGTAAGATCATTCAAAAATCAAGGTAGCAAGTATGAACATGAAACAATTGGTATGAGTCATTAATGTCTGACAGTATTACACTCTGAAACATACATCAACAGTTCAACACTCACTCAGAAATAATTGCGAAAAAGGAAGGGGAAACTAACAAGACACACCTGTGATGGAAAACCATGAATGAGCATGACTGAAGGATTATCAGTACTTCCACTTTCAACACAAAACCATCTATTATTGCACAAAACAATACGTGTATGGGTAAACCCTGCAATTAATCACTCTTCAATTTCTGTATAAAATGAAGCTAGGCCACCAGTGCACCAAAATTATTATCATGGCCATAAATTTGCGATACGAATACCAAATGTTTTGAGGAATTCACCTAAACACGTCATCAGAACCTTGAGAACTGCTGCCCATTGTCAACCCGAATATTGGATCTTTTGCCTTCTCACCTGAGCTGCGAACAACATAAGCTTTCACCTGAATAATGTTGATGAAAAAGGTAAGACAATTGGAGGCAGATGGAAGCAAGATCATAGAGTCAAAGATAAGACAGCTGTAATTGAGGTGAAGCACTACATCTGAACTATGCAAGCACAACCAAGAAGTAGAGGATAGAACTTGAGCATATAAACAAGAGTAAGAAATCAAATTCATATTCCAGTAAAACAAGGAATCAACTTAAGGTATATTTGTGACATAGTGAATTAGTCATTGTTGTTACATGTTTTCACATCACTAAACAAGTTGAAACAATGCACCAAAGCTAATCAAGGATATATAGAGTACAGAAAATATGACAATTCTAGATAATTAGGGGGGAAATTTGAAAATTAAGGGAGAAGAAGCATGATGATTTTCCATCAATAATGACTATTCTTGTCAACCATGAGATGAGGTTTCCATTGCTTCATTCCATTCATTCCATCATGAACGAATGAACAATGGCAAACAATCAGCCAACCAAATTCAACAAAGATTGGTGTTGGATAACAAACACAACACCAATACTGTATAATGATATGAATATATAGTATAAACAACCCATGCTATTTATTGAAGGTATGACAATTGCAGGTAATGAATTTGAGTATAATTGATAACCCTATGACCCCTTGATAGGAACCCAGGATGCCAAGTTGGTGATTTAAACGACCATCTCTTGCACCATTTAACTACAAATGCAACATAATTTCAAATACAGCTACATAGTTAACCAAACTTATTCTCGGGATATTATAAACATATTGGTAGGCCTCTTATGGTTCCAAATGCATTTATATGACTTCAAGGGACACCCCACGCATTCAGTTCAAAATGGGAAAATTTCTCAAAATTGGTTCAAAAGAGTGGATTATAGCCTTGCGTTTTGGACAATTTTTTTTACGTTTTTGGGCCCAAAAAGGAAAAGGTCAGGGTGCTTATCATAGGCCCCATAACACCCAGGGAGTCCATTTTGGTGGTTAGAACCACTCACTTTTCCTTAAAAATGTCAACTTAATACACAAAAATGTACACGCCTACTTTCATTAATTCAAGGCTACCACGGGACTTTATGTAACCAACTAATGATCATATATGGATTCAAACAACATCAATGACCTAGAGATGCATCCCCTTCAATTCCGAGATTTTTCGACATCAAGTCCCGAAATCTTTAAATCTGGTCTGATTTTGTGTATTATTATAGCCTTCAAATTTGGCCTTCAGAGTACATTTATGGACTTGCCAAGTTTATGTATTGAGGTGATTCTCGAGGTTTCCAAAGGGCTCAGAGAGACCTACTTAGTGCCCAAAATCATCTCATTCATGCCTTGGGGGACCCTTCGTCATTGTGTCTTAAGGTGTCATCCCTTGTCTAGTTGTCTTGCCTTGTCTTGGCTTGGCTACATTGCCTTGGCTTGTGTTGCCTTGCCTTCCAAGGCCTTGCATTGCCTTGCTTTGGGCCTAAGATAAGCCAATACGCTTCCCTAAATTGCTAAAATAGGTGTTTTTCTCAAGGATGGGGTGTTTTTAACTTTTTATGCCTCGTCTTTGTGCACGTGCCTAGGACATGGGCGTGCAGCAGCAGCACAACCGCCCCAAGGGCATGTGCATGCTCTTAGGCAGCAACAGCAACAAGTGCCCCACACTTAGGTATTGTGCATTGGCCCTCCTCCATACTTAGCATTTTTTATAGCACCAAAGGAAAAAAAAAAAAAAAAAAAAAACCTGACCATTTTTCCCTGCTTGAACCATTCATCAGCAGGACTTGATCCATCTGAATACTTTCCTGCCAAAAAAATAAAAAGTGATTTTTATTTTGTTAAGCCATGTATTATGTTAAAGGTGAATTATGATAATTAATCAATAAAATCATTGAGTAACCCTAATTCTTATGATTTCATCCCATCAAGTTGCTAATTGCATTGCTTATCTGCTATTGTAACCCTTATGGATATGATCATTGCAATAAACTCCTGTTACAAGGAGATTTACGCAATCTAACAATACAACCAAGTATAAAAAAGTGGTCTTTTACATAATACATAATTAAATACATGAGATCCACAATTAATTATTACCTCCACTGAAAGAGAAGCCATCACCAGCAGAAACAGGAGCATCCAAGTAATAATCCTGCATCCAAAAATAAATAATTAATCCAAGAGAAAAACCCATTTAGTTAAAACCATTTTAGAGTTACTAATATAAACATTTAATCACCTCATCTTGGCTACAAACTAATTTTAATGGTTTCCTCCTTTTGGTAACAACAATTTTGGACTTGGGTAATTTAGAAAGAGGTTTAATAGAAGATTTAAAGTGATGGGGTTTGTGAAAAGAGGTAACATTGGCAGATTGAAGAGACATATCAACAAGTAAAAGGGTAGTAATTTTACTAGGATGTAGAAAGAATATGATGATCTTGGTTCTGTAAGACTATTTGAAAAGATGGATAGGATTTGTTCGGTCGTTACTTGTTAGCCCCCGTTACCGCGCAATTTTAGCTTCTCTTTTCCCTGCCTTATAAATGTGGCCGTGAGACCATTGTATGACAATCTAATACTGTATACAAGTATATACTTTCTCCGATTATATTACGTTCGTTAGTTTTAGACACACATATTAAGGAGTGAAGAGAGAATGGTAAACTAAAAAAAGCAATGTATAAAACTTATCTAAAAAGGAAACGTTTCAACTAATAATAAACTTCCTATAAAAGAATTCGTTTCAACTAAAAAGAACATAGGTAAGTGTATAGAAAGGGGAGTTTTTTTCCGAGCTTTTAGAAAACAACGTAAGATTAAATTATCTTAAAGCGTCAGGTAGAATTATAAATTTTAGTTATAACCAATTAAATAAGAGATTTGTAAAAAATTTTAAAATTAAATAATTCAAACGCCACATATTTTTTTAACATCTTATTATTAAAATAAATAAATAAATAAACTGGTCATAAATTTATGTAATGTAGACCTATAGTACTAATCACAAGTGTAACTCCTACTTAATCTAAAAATGAATCAAAAGATCATTTTAATTAGCTAAGTGATTTTTTGTGGGATTCAAATGGAGGAAATGAACAGAGCAGCCTAAAGAAAGGAAGAAGCACCGAAGTAGAGGTTTGGTTTATTTGCTTAATTTTCCTTTTGCTTTGTATTTTTAGATTTTCATTTTTTCTTTTATGTGAGCTTTCATTTTCCTTTTTTCTTATATACTTTCTCTTTTAGTTTATTTGTTTGCTTTAATTACCTAATTTTTGTTACGTTAGCTTTAATTACTTAATTTTTCTTCTTTATTAATATTTTTATTGGATTTAAATTCTTGACTCTTTTTAAATAAAAAAAATAAGGTATTGGATAATATAACTTGTGAGGGTTTGATTGATGAATTTCCTTAAAAAAAATAATGAAGCCCGTAGATTGAATGAGATTCTTTAAGTAACTAGTTTTGTGCCTGGACGATGCCCAGATTGTAAACTTTCATGGTCTATTGGAAAATTTTAGTTTTAAAATCAATTCGAGATATTTTTTTACAAAGAAAAACTAAATTGGAAAACTCATTACAAAGTATGATGTTGATGTTTTGCAAGCCGGTGCGGTTCCATAAGTTTTTCATTTAATTAGGAGATGTTTTGATTTTTAAACTCACTAGAAAAACTTTTCATGTTAATGTTAGAGTCGAGGAGATAATAAAGAAGTTTAGATAGATGTGTTTTTTCTATTATCTAGCTAAACACAAGGGAATTACTTGGAAAAAAAAAATCAAAGGTAAACATGGAAATTTTCTCTCTTCTAGTGATTTTGCATGTGAAAATTATTTGAGTTTGACAATTCTAATCTCCACTGACAATTTGTTGATAAAGTATTTTCTCTATCTCTCCTTCGAAGGTTCTCTGTTTTTCCATTGACGTTCTTCAATTCACCATTGAAGGATCATAACCCTAGCCTTAAATTCAAACACCAAATTCACAAGCTACTGTTCATAATGTAGAAGACTGAAACTTTGTAAGGGCTGAGGATGAGGATAATAAGGTAGGGATTAAGCATTAGTATAGATTAGTCAATTTTTTTATTGTCACATGTATTGGTGATGGTCGTCGATGGAATAGATTAGTTAAGGTTTTAATATATAAACCTAGTGTATAACTTGTTGGGTATTTAGTTGGAGATATGTGGCATGTGTGTTCTAGGTTTGTAAAACCTACAATACATGAGATTCAAAACGTCAAGTATCGGGTTGATTTTGAGATAGCTTATACCATACTTCCATGGTCTATCGGAAAATTTCAATGAATTCGAGATATTTTTTAACGAAATATCTTATAACATCCATAACTTAAGATAACAAGGTAGCATATTACTAGAGGCTTCCTAATTTCCCTAAATTACACAAAAATACTTAATACACAATCAATACCACGGGAACACGTTGAATGAAACTTTACTAGTATTTTTGTTGATCAGCAACATCGACCTTCAACAGAAAAAGGTTTACAATCAAGTTGCAATGGATTATCCAAGACCAAGTCGGTGACCATTTCAGCTGTTCCTAAAGCCTGACATTAAAAAACCATTCAAAGAGTTACACTTCTATAGTTCTATGTTCTATCAGTGTATTAAGGCAAGATTGAAGCATAATATTACCATGCTAAGTCCTCCTCCTTCATGTCCACTTGCAAGGAAAAGATTGGGAATACCAGGTACTGGGCCAATAACTGGCTTGCCATCAGGCACTGCACAAGGAATAAGCATATCATTACAAGAACTTCGACACTAAAGAATTACTTAAATTTCTGATGGGATTATTTCATTTTGGTATCCTTAAAGATTACTTACTGTAAGGGCGTAATCCAATTCTGACATTCATTTGTTCACTCAAGTTTTTCACTGAGAATTCTTTCAAAGCGGGAAAAAACTGTTGAGTACGTTCCCATATGCGATCAACAATGAACATTTCCAATTCAGTGTTAAATCCAGCAAATTGTCGGCTGCTTCCTGAAGTCATAGGGCAATTGAAGGATGAAATATAAAAACATGCCACATAATTGTGAAGATTATGAGAAGAAAAAAGTGAATGTACACCATATAAACACAGTGTAAAATAAACCCAAGTACAAAACAATTACCGATAAGAAGATTCCCACATGCATCTCTTGTTACAGTCATTGAAACAGACAAGGCTTTGTTATGATCAACCCCCTCTGATTCAGATATGACGGATTTTTGATGATCAACATAACCAGCTTCCATTAGACCATGCCTAATATCAAGGTTATCAAAGTTCTCTAGGTTCAGAAGAAAACCCTGTGAACGTATTCTATAAAAAATAAATAAAAGAAGCATACTTGCATGCAAAATAATTTCAACATTCATGAACAAGATAGACTTTAGGGACAGTTATGTACTAGCATAACTGGACAAGAACAGGGCAGAAATAACGGAACAAGAAGACAAATTTGATTGAGAGTTCTAGAAGCAGAACAACTGATAGATAGGCTAAGTTTAGCCTTGCTTGTTTCACTCCCAACGGGGTAAAACGAAGAAAACTTTTCAATTTCTAGATTACTTTCTCTCTCCTCATTTTCCCTTGTTCATAGCAAATTTCTTTCATTTTACTGATTTATAAGTAACTTTAGCTACGCTCTTCATATAGCAGGTTCAATACAGAATAGGACAGTACCCACTGAGAGCAACAATAGGTTTCAAAGCTAATTTGTTACACATCAGATAAACACATGCAAGAGTCCGAACATATAAAACTTATTGGCATCAACACTTAAGTTACATTCATGCTCCAGAGATATCAGTATGTATTAGCTGCTAGCCTGCTACCAATCTTGTTTCTAATCAACAATTCTCACCTTCCGAGGCTTAATAGGAACATGTAACACTATATGTGAATCCTGAAGCAGCTTGTCCATCAAAGATCCAGTCCAACAACCAGCTGCTATTATAGTTGCCTTTCGGCCATATAAAGTGTTCTTTTGAGTTATGATACCGTCAATTTTTCCTTTTCCATTTGATCTGAATGTATATAGAATATAAAGTTATTACATCTCAGTTTTTATTTTCATACCAGAATATCCTGTTCCTAGTTTTGGGAAGAAAGAAGAAACACTGAAAATTGGAAAAGACCTTATGAAACGTACAGCTGGATCATGATAGAACTCTGCATATCTGCCTAGGGACTTAAAGAGCCTGTTACCCTGGAAATGAAGGAATGAACCATAACCTATTAAGTCAAGCTATACTTTGGTGATAGGTTGTTAAAAAGAAGTAACAACAATCAATAAAATTCTGATCAGGATCTAAGATGACTGCACAAACCTTTTCTATAAATGCCATTGTACGATAAGCATCCAATTGGCAATCATCAGGTAGAAAGGCAGCACCACTTTGCTGGTTAATTCCGAGTTCGGGTTCCCTATTAGCTAGATCATTGTGTGACAAGTACTCTGCCCTTATCCCAGCCTTAGATAGCTCTTGTACGCGCCTCTTCAATTGATTTAACTCTGTTTCTGTTCTACCAATTAACAAGCTTCCTAACAAAAAAGACACCAGCACCATTCATCCAAAGAATTACACAAATGGCCAATACCAAAAATCAATATATCACATGATGTCACAGAATTTTTATGCAAAATCTAGATTATTAGACACTTTAGTTGAGTCCATGACTTTAAAAGGGAGATACACCCACACTCAAAGTTTACACCTCCCCTTTTTGGCAAGGTATGAGAGATCAGGCTTCATGCAGCTTTACTTCTGAAACTAACAGAGACTTTAATACCATGACAACATAATGAGGGCATATAAAAGGTTTGTGCTGCCTAGAAGCCTATCAGGGTGCTCAAGTGTAGTGATGATTCAGGTAAACACCATGCTCAATAAAAATGTCAGTATACATACCAAATGGAGCTCAGGAGTAATTATGCTTCAAACTGCCAATGCCATCACACTCCCCCCAACACACACACACACACACACACAAACAAACAACCCCACAGACAAGCTAGTAAAATTTTATTTGGGAAACTAATTTGTACTAGCAGAAGTACTATCTATACTAATATTTAATAACAGGCAAACTTAAAGGAAATGTAGAGTGCCACGTGTCATTTTTGTTTTTCAATTTTTTTTAATATATGTCTTTTCATCCTAATGTCCAGTTTATTCCCAAATGACGCTTCATTCCTCTTAAATTTCTTACCAAACAATTAGTTTATTCTTTCATAGGTCATACATACGAAAACTAACTTTTATGCATGATTCATACGAAAACTAACTTTTTATTCCCAAATGATTCCATCCAAGCTCAATCTAAATATGCAATATAACAAGATAAACAACCCTTAAATAGAAAGAAAAAAAAAATTGAATGAAAAATATTAATGTATATTTTCATTCAAATTAAATATTAGAGCAATCTAGATATACATTAAAATAATTTTTTAATAACACAAAAAGACATTTTATCAAAAAATTTGACCCGTGCATTGCACAGGCTAAATACTAGTTTAATTTTAAATAGTGAGAA